CCTCGCCCCTGAGTGCTGGGATTAAAGGCGGCGTGTGCCACCCACTGCCCAGCCTGATGCAGGAGACTTTCTTACTGAAGAGACAAGCATTTCTGAGAAGTGGATAACTTGATTTTGTTGTCTGAATTTGTGATTTTGTTTGAATGTTTCATGTTTTGAATTTTGTATTCCTTACCCTCTGCTCACATCTTCATTCCCTCAGGATAAAATTTCATAAAATTAGACATTACAATATTTTGCTCATTTTTATGACAAAATATATGACAAAAACAGTGTAAGGGAGGGAAGGTTTATTTTGAGTCATGGTTTCAGTCCATCATGGCAGAAAAGTCATGTGTCATAAGCATGAGGCAGTGATTGGTTGTTCATATTGTGGTTGACCAGGAAGTAAAGAGCTAGACATAAATTAGGGCTGGGTTCTAACTTTCAGAGGACTGGCTCTAAATCTACTTCTGCTAGCCATGCCCCATCATTACCCAACCATCATTACCCAACCAACTTGTAGTGGAATCTTGCTTTGCCAGTGAACTTGCGGTTGTGGCCACATCCTATGGGCGGGTCTTCAGGTGTGCGGATACCCCTTACAAGGAAGAGGAGGTTCTGGCTTGCTCTCTTGGGTTGTGGTGAGAGTATTGAAAGGATCGAAAGGGCAGAGACTGCATTTTCTGGAGCAGGAAGACCATGACAGTTATTTACTATTATTTGTGTAAGTGCTTCCCTAATAAATACCTGTTTATCATTTATCTTGGGTCTTGTGGACTCATTTAAACCCTGCCTTCAAATAGTATCATCAACCAGAGAACAAGCATTCAAAACACTAGCACAACTGTGGGAACATTCCAGACATGGTAGTTAAAAGAAATTATCATTCCGAGTTTTAAGAAAATATTTTCTGGAGAGATATGAATCATGTTAGGATAAGCATAATTATGAGGGTGTTATTTTATAGTTGATAGGGATTTCAGATCATCTGGTTGTCATAGATAAATTATAAAATTGGTCAGCTCTGTGTAAAGAATGGGCTGCTGAGAAAAGGATGGTTCATCCAAGTTGAAGAGAATAGCAGAGCAAGTGCTTTTTATGGGTTGAAGTGCTACAATAAGCCTTTCATATTCGGAGGAGACAGACACGGAGAGGTCAAATGATTTGCCTCAGATTACACAAGCAAGAAGACACAGCTAGACTTCCATACCATGCAATGTCTTGAATGGAGTTGGCAAGGTGGTGTAGTTACCAGGTGATCAGTACTGGGACGTCTCCAGTAACGTGTACTAACATGTTTTGTGTTTGCTAACATAGGTCTTCAGGTCTTTAGGCTGCTATTTTGTTTTAAATTAAATTTTATGTGTATGGGTGTTTTGTCTGCATGTATGTGTGTGTACTATATGTCTGCCTGCTGCTGGCTGAAGTCAGAAAATGGTGTCAGATCCCCTGGAAATGGAGTTTAAGATGTTTGTGAGCCACTATGTGGTTGCTGGGAATCAAACCCAAGTCCTCTGGAAGAGCTACAAATGCTCTTAACCACTGAGCCCAGGCTGTTATTTAAAACAAAAACAGAAACACAAAAAAAACCTGTGTTTAGTCTCACCTTAACTTTGAATTTATCTGAGCTCAGTATGATTCCACTGCAAATGACTGGTTTCTAGAAAAAAGGGGGAAAAGCCTGTCACATTTACTACTTCTAATAAAAAAGTTTGAATACCATGTTAGTCATTGTTCCATTTTTGTGATAAAAGAATTAAGTTAATAGTGGAAAAGATTTATTTTAATCCCTGGACACTTGGCTTGTTGTTTTGTGGTAAGTGCACCATGATATTGCTCACCTAATGACAGCCAGGGAGAGAGGTTGGAGAGGGGGAGAGAAAATGAAGAAAAGAGGGAGGGAGGAAGAGAGAAAGGCACACACACACACACACACACACACACACACACACACACACACACAGCACTCATATACAACCACGTACTACTGACCTAACTTCCTTCCAGAACCCATTTCTAAAAGGTTCTACTACCTCCCAGTAGCACCACAGGCTGGTGAAGGACACTTTGGCACGTGGACTTTAGGGAGATATTTAAGATCTGAACCATAAGCCAGGTAGTGGTAGCACATGACTTTAATTCTGGCATTTGGGAGGCAGATGCAGGTAGAACAGAGTTTGAGGCCAGCCTGGTTCCAGGCCATCCAGGGCTACGTAGAGAAACCCTGTCTCAAAACAACAACAACATCAATATTTGGACCAAAAATAACTTTCCCTGAAGGTGTACCAAATATTATTAAGAAGCTTAAAAACATTTGTTTATGGGTAAAGTGACTTTACAAGATAAGAACAATGAATTCAGATTCCCAGCATTAATGGTCGGGGGTGAATAAAGCAGATCACTGGAGCTGGCCAGTCAGCCTCATCTATCTAATTCATGTGTGCCTGGTTCAATGACAGACCCTGTCTTAAAAAAAAAAAATAAGATGCAGAATGATAGCAGAGGACACCTGAAGTCAACCTCCGTCTTTCACATGCACATACATATATCTGCACACACCAAAATCTGACAAAACAGTTACAAGAGTCTTTTTAGATCATTAGTTCCACATGCAGGCTACAGTGGTTCTGTGTGTTCTGTAAATACAAGTCTCTTTCTCTCTTTCGTGGTTTTTCTTCACATTGTACTTTGAAGTTGAAAAGCAAATGTGAAGTTAGGTGTGGCAGCACCTGCTTGTGATCCCTGTGTTTATGAGGCATAGGTAGGACGATTGTGAGTTCAAGGCCAGCTTAGCCTATATAACAAGAACTGATAAAAAGGAGTGGAGGACCAGAGAGAGGAGGGGAAAGGGAGGGGGAGGAAAGTGAAGAGTTGGGGAAGGGACTGTTATGTAAGAAACAAGACCTTTGCCTGGATATTTGGAACATAATCCAGCCACAATTTCTGGTGATAGAATAGAAACCCAGGCTAGACACTTGTGAGCAAGCATGGGACAGCAGGTATGTGACTCCTTGAATACCATTTCAAAGCCACATTGGAAAGGATATTGACTTTTTTTTTTTTGTATTAACCATGTCTCTCCCTATTCCCATTATGAATATCTTAAGTTTCAATGTACAACAGTGACATCCTAGTAAGGGGCCGTCCCAGAAGGCAATCTGAACTTCTGCTTAGTATATTTACTCTTGCAGCTTTCCTTCCTCCTGATTTGTAACTCAAGAGGCTGAGAAGAGAGACAGCAAGGCTTCTTAGATGGATAAAACAACCAGGAGCTGGGATACCACATTCTATGAGAAGGTTTGCTATCAAAATTTTAAAAATTATGCTGTGCTTTCTAAATGTAAATAACATGTACAGGAGCAGTTTGTGATTATAGAATAGTTTGAATGTGAGGTAATTCATTTATTCTAGGTGAGCTGCTCAGGCAGAAAGCAAAATTTGCTAGGTTTCTCTTAGTTGTCAGTTGACCCTAAATCCTTCAGATCTTATCAGATGTATCCTTGCTTCTTGTTTATATGACACATTTTGAGGTCTTAGAGGTGTGGTTAGTCAAGCTTAATCTGTTAGGGCATGGTTTTCTGTATTGTCTTCAGAAATGAAGTATGCCTGTTTATACACTCCTGTTGCTTTCATTTCCCCTTTACTTAAAAAGATGAACACTCTGTTTTGGTATAGAAGAGCTTTATTGGAATTCAAAGAGGTTATTTAATGCAGTCATTTGTACTCACTCACTACTATAGTTCCTTTTAAGTGTGCTGGACCAGGACAATTTAGTAAAGCTTAGTCTTTTGGTTTTTACAATCAACAGGAAGATATCAGGGAATACACTAGAACGAGAGATTACAAAGTATATCCTCATATTTACCCATGAATTTTTGTTATAGTTTATGCATATTAGGTAACAAAATATCCTTACTAACGAAAGGTGACAAGTAGAAATTCTTTAGCACCTAACATGTTTGTGGGTAAGAAATTATTTATTTCTCATCTGTGGATCACTATTTCATAAATGAAAATGTCTTCAGTGTAACATGAAATTAACGAAAAGACGAATTTGTTTTTAAGCTAAAATTAATGTACAAAATCTCTGGCGCTGTCAAATGAAAATCATGTTCCAACAAACCTAGTTAGGTGTGAGTAGCAGGCCTAGGAAATAATGTCACTCTCAAGTAGTTGAGAAGCAGCAGAAAGTTGAGACACAGGAACTCCTCATGACCCCTTCAGTTTGGAAACATTATTAGGTTTCTTCCTGCTATAAATGATCAAAGAAGCACCCTGCTAACTCTCCCAGACCTGAGCTCACTTTAAGAGTCCAACTTCTGATAGCCCAAGGAAATCTGACAGCCAGGGGCTAACTTGTGGCCTTTGATGTTGAACATGGTGTTATTTTCCATTATGTTTCTCTGGGTGCTTCAGCAGCATCAGCTTGCAACAAAGACAGAGCTTCCACTCTGGAGGGCTTCACGAAAGGAAACGTGTGACAGCAGCGCATCTTGGGAATGCTGGGGCCGGGAGTAGCGGTGAGATCCTTTCCCTCTAGATTCTCTACTTTAGCAGCTGTTAATTTCCATCTGGGGCCAGTGGCTTTTGGGACTGGGAGTCAGGCTCTCCGGCCCTAGATGGAAATTATTAACAGTCAAGACCGTAACAAGAAGGGCAGCGCTAGTCTATCGTGTGGTTCTGGGTCTAAGAGTGTCAGAGTTTCCTTTTCCCTGGAGTCAATCTGAACGATTAGGTCAAATTTCCGCCAGGGTGTGGTCGAGGGCCCCACCCGCAACTACTAAGGCAAGGAAAGACCGGAAGTCCTGCAGGCCCCACCTCGGAGTGGCGAGACTCCAGGAACCCCTTTCGGAAGTCTCCCCAGATATTCCGCCATTATTCTCCCAGGCGGCCGCCACTGGGAACGTGCGGAAAGAGAGCCTTTCTCCCGCCCCCACAGCAGGTCCATCTCCGCTCATTGGGTAGGGAGAACGCTCCTCCTACATTTGTACGTGCTCCGGGTGGAAACCTGAGCTGGAGGAATTGGCGTTCCGGACCGAGGAGGGTCGCGGGGGACTGGAGAAGGCCGCGCGCCCGCCGCTCCTCCCACCCCCCGCCTCGGCCCCGAAGGGGGCTGCACGGGCGATTTGGCGGCGATGGCTCGAGCTCGGGCGGCGACGGCGGTGGCCGGAGGCGGCGGCTCCTCCTCCTCCTGGGCCTGGGCCCGGCGGTGATCCGAGCTGGCGGCCGCGGCCCCCTGATGAGACTGTTGGCGGGCTGGCTGTGCCTGAGCCTGGCGTCCGTGTGGCTGGCGCGGAGGATGTGGACGCTGCGGAGCCCGCTCTCCCGCTCCCTGTACGTGAACATGACGAGCGGCCCCGGCGGGCCAGCGGCGTCCGCGGGCGGCGGGAAGGACACGCACCAGGTACTGGGCCGCAGCCCTGCGGAGCGGGGGCGTGGCGCTCGGCCTTCCCGCGCTCGGCCCGGCCATTGTGCGGGGCAGCGCGCGCGGGCCTCGACCCCGGCCTCTCACAAACTTTTCCCGGCCGGGCGCTGGCTCCACGGCGCCTTTTGTTCGGCGGCGCGGGCAGTGGATCGCCTCCGCCGCCCCGCTCCCCAGGCCTGGCGTGGGCGCCCCGGACCCCGCATTGTTCCCAGGCCCCCGGCAGCGTCAGCGCCTGGCCTCAGGATCCGAGCAACTTTGGGGTGGGCCACCCAGCTGGCACCGGGACCCGAGCAGAAAACAGCCCCCACCGTCACCCGGGCCAACCTTCCTCTTCCCGGAGGAACAAAACAGAGAGCCGGTCCCTCTTTTTGTCTAGCCGAATCCCTGAACATACAAAGGTTTATAAAGAGAATTAACCGGGCTTCGTGCACCATTCGGCTGACATTTTCCCTGAAGCACTTTAAAAAAAATGTGTTTGACAGGTCTGGGTTCCCAGTCTAGGAACCCTCTTCTCTGCTTAAGAGATGTGTCCTTTAAACTTGGGTTTAGTTAGGTGGCCAGAAAGGTTGGGATGAGGAGGAGGTATTTAAAGTCAGAACTGTGCAGCTGTGAATTCTTGTTGTAGTTAATGGATCGTGAGCCATGAGAATCTACCGGTTGGATGGTCTTTTCATGAGCTGTTTGTACCACTTAAAGAAGGATGCATGGGTCAGCTGTTGAATTAAGAGGGAGGTATTTCACATTTGACCGTAAGTAGTTTGAGGTTAACTTTGCAGTCACTGAAAAGAGGCCTTTGAATTTAGACAAACTTTGGGCTTCTAAAAGCCAGAGTTTAGTACGTCTTGCTTTTTACAAAGCAAAGAAAGGAATTATTTATTCCTCGTGTCATTTGGGACCTTACCTTTTCATGTATAAAAGTAACATTAAGTTTTTATTTACTAATCATTGGGATGCATTTTTTTTTTTTTTTTAAATGATGTTAGTATGGAACTCAGATCCCGGAAACTGTTCTACTGTGGGTCGATACTGAGACTCCAAAAACAAAACAAAACAAAACAAAAAAACCCCAAAACTCTAGTGATTGTGGTGTTTCAGATGACCACTTGTGGTGGTGGTAAGAGTGTATGTAAACTTACTATACAGTATTAAGTTGTATAACTGTATTTATCGTCATGGACTATTTTATGCTGGCTCAATGTTATAGAAGTACTACACTGTTAATTGTACAGGCAACAGAATGCCTCATGTCCATGTGGATCTATGAATCGGAAATGCCATTTTTAACAAGGAGTGGATAGAAAAAAAAGATTATTCCCTTTGATGAAGAATTATGGCTCAGTCTCCCAGTTGGTAACACTTGTGATTACTGCAGTGACTTGATTTAAGTGCTCATAAAAAAATTGCTTATGGGATGGCTCCGTAGTTAAGAGATTGTGCTGTTCAGTTCCCAGCACCCATGTCAGACACAACTCTTGTAATTCCAGTTCCAGCAGGATTGGATACCTACCTCTGGATCCAATTGGATTGGATACACACAAACACACACACACACACACACACACACACACACACACACACACTAAAAAAAAAAATCTGTAAAATATTGTACTTATTTTTAAAACTGAAAATTGGTTTCTGTAGAGCCCAGGAAGAGTGGGCACTGTCTCCATGTTTCCACTAGAGAGCATTTTCTAATTGCATACATTCATTTGTTTCTGTGGTGTCAAGGACCTGTACATGCTAGACAACCACTGTACCACTGAGTCACATCCATGGTCCTTGTTTATTTATATGTTTAATTTTGAGCCAAGGCCTTGTAGCTTTGAGTGTCCTAGTACTCCTGTGTAGTCTAGGCTAGCTTTGAACTCAAGGCAGTCTTTCTGCCTCAGTTTCCAGAATGCTAGCATTACAGGTGTTCAGCATCATGTCTGACTTGCCCATGAGAGTTTTTTTGTTTTGTTTTTTTGTGCCTTCACTAGCTGGCCATCCTTAGTGTTTTGAGACAGGGTCTGCCAGTTCAGGATAAATAGATAGTTCAGAATGGCTTCAGAGTCACAACCCTCCTGCCTTGGCCTCCTGGGTACTAGGATTCTTGTAAGTGTGCACTACTAAACTCTGCCAAATGTGATTTTTTTTTTTTTTGAGGTGAATACATTTGTGTTATGAAAAGAAATGTCTGAGTGAAGATGAAATGACCAAGAGGAAAGTGTGTGTGCCCAGAAGCCACCATGAGCTAACAGAGTGAGAGGCTGGCCTTTCTGATTCTGGCAGAGTGCATGGTTTCTTTCTTTTATATTCCAGAATCCTGGTTTCTGTATAGCTTTGTTGCTTGTGAAGTAACTTTAATGGTTCCCCCCCTTCAAATTAATAGTTTTATAGAGGTTTTCTGGTGTTCATTTGGATGTGTGGGTTCCATGGCTAGCTGCATCTGGTTCTTTTGGAGTTGCATGAAAGGAGAATTATGGGCTAAACCATACTTAGCACAGGTTTTCTTGGTGGTGTTTTATGAATGATTTATGGTGTGGGCTTCTTTGGTTAAAAGAGAGATCTGGAGTAAAGTTTACTCATTAGAAATTGCTATTCAGTTGTTAGAGCCTGAAGATGCAAGCATCCACTAGGCTTAGCTTGAAAACTGAGCAGCTTCTTTCAGTGTACTGGCTTCACAACTGGATTATGCTTTGCTTTGGCAGGAAGCAAGGACTTCTGAAGAAGGGACAAGGCCAGCAGGCCAAACTGGTCTCATTGACTTGGGTAGCCCGTGAAATAATAATAGTCTCATGTTCTTAAATGGTTGTCATTACTGTTTTATAACATGAGGATTTCTCATATGAAATTCAAATGTCAGAGTCTTCAAATCAAGTTTTATTGAAACAAAGCCACCACATTGGTTCAGCTATGGATTGTGGGTGTGTCAGGGTGAAGAAGTAATCACCACCCAACAGTATTTTCTCTGGCCTTTTAAAAGTGTGTATTTTTAAAAGTCTGTTTTTTTCCCCCTCAATTGCTCAGCTTCGTTAATCAACAGTATGGGGTTATCAATCCCAAGATGGACTCATTGGGGGAGAAATAAAGAATAGTAAGAACTAGATGTCAGTCATCATTGTCAGTACACTCAGAACACAGGAAGAAAACAACAAAAACCTTTGGATGTAGTCTTTTTGGTGCATTCCACCTGGTACTTAGAGTTAAAGAACTATTACAGAGCTATTGAAACTTGAAAGGCTCCTCAAGGCCCTGGTAACTAGATCCTTGGTAATAACAGTCATCCACAGCCTCTCAATTGATGGATTGAAAGGTTGTTATGAAACTTGTTGGTTCCAAACCATAGTGGTTTCTTCAGGTGAAAAACTTCTATTTGCTTTTCACATATAACATTTAATGTCTGGAGTTATTTAGAGGTCACTTAAAATTACAAGTTTCTTATAAACCTGGTACTTAATATTATTTTTACCTTTTTATATGAGCCCAGAACTGCTGTGCCAACTTCTACAGTGGAATCAAGATAGAATTGGAATATGCATTTTTAAATGAAAAAGTACTTGAATGTCACAGCCAGAGTCAGATGTGCTAAAGGAAAGATTGAGTTTCCTGTCCCTTTATTTCTCAGTTACCTTGTGGAGGTTGGCAGAAGTCAGGCATGAGTTAACCATGCTTCAGGGTGTCAGCCAGTTAGCCGGCAGACTGTGATGGATTGGTGTCTCTGTTCTGCCTTCCAGTCTGGAAGCCTTTGCAGTCGAATACTAAAGAGAAGGTTTCTTTCCTCTTTGCATCCTGTGCTAAAGCTCTTAAACAAGTGCTTGCCTCAGTTTCATGGGTCACTAAGATCACTTTGCCGAATATGCCAAGGGTTATTATGTTCTCCTTTGAAAGTACCCTAGAGGACCCAGTAACCTCTGCTAAAGAGTCTGTTGTTTGGATCATCAGTAGTTTTGTTAAAATCTTAGGATTATAAACCACTAATCATGAGAGAGTATTTGGAATGAGGACTGCTAGTTATACATTTATTAAGTCAAAGCTAAAGCAACTTAATCTAATCTGTATAAATGGCACTCCATTATGAATTCGAGGGCACCTTTCATTGTGTACATTGAAATTGTTACCAGAATCTAAGGTTTATGCTGCTGGATGCTCTACAGAAAACCTGTAGATAGGATAAGTTTTGGTCAGTACTGAGGAGAGAGAAATACTTGTCTGTCTTGGCCTTACCAAGTGCTATAATTTATGAAAAAGATGCACCAGAAAGTCAGCAAATATGCATGTGTATATTTAATTATGGGCCTAAATTACCAGAATTGGGTGCTAAGTCTTTTGTTTTTTTCCTTCAGGGTTCATGGGCCAGGGCTTTTTGGAGTAGCTTTCTTCACACATTGTTGATATATCTTAGAAGAATCCTAATCCCTAGAGCCCCATTAAATATCTAAGTAAAGAGATAATTTCTAGTAAAATGGCGAGCAGTTTATGGATTTACTCCAGCGTTGGCTTTTAGAATGTGTCAGTTGTGAAATGTTGAGGCTGATTGCATTGCATTGTAAAATCTGGGAATGGAATTTCTGAGTCCTTAACGATTATAGTTCATGGGCCTTTTCTGACTACCTTTCTAATTGGAAAGACTATTTATTCATTAGATTCAAGGGACCCACTTATTTTTGAGAATAATTTGGGTGCCCAGACCAGTAGTGTGGCCTTTGCTTGAACTGTGTCTCCCCCCCTCCCCCTCCACCAGTCCCCAACCAGCCTTTTCCTTCTGACATATGAGCACTTAATAGGCTTGTATTGTGTACCTGGTCGCTTTAAGTGAGTTTCACTTTATAATCCTTATGACAGCTCTTCTTCTTAGGTGGTGGCACTCCCACTTGACAGATTGAAGAGACTTGGGAGAGACCAGAGTCAGTTGTTGGGTAGAGTTGTGTTTTGAATCCAGCTTTGCCTCAGTAAAAGGCCCAAGCTTTTTCCATTACTTCATGTAGTGCCTTCTAGGA